ATAGCCAATTCAAAAGAAATTCCCATTACTGGCAACACTCTCTGCAAAGTCTCTTCCCCGCCATGCACATTCCTCTTCCACCTGACCCTTCCCCATAAAGCTTCATCTCCACGCCTAATACACTTCCTTCTCCTGCAGAACAATCTAACTCTTCCCCATCTTGCTTCCAATTTGACGTTCCTCCATTCCCCATGGATCTCCTTTCATTGATCTTCCACACATTGTCTTTGAGCTCCGTCTGTCTTTAAAAGGCAGTGGGGGAGCAGGGTGCGCAGTGGCTCACGCCTATAATCCTACCACTCTAGGAGGCTGAGGCGGGTGGATTTTCTGAGTTCACGAGTTTGAGACCAGCCTGAGCCAGAGCAAGACCCTGTCTCTTAAAGTAGCCAGGTGTCGCGGCAGGAGCCTATAGTCCCAGCTATTTGAAAGGCTGAGGCAAGAGGATCACTTGAGCTCAGGAGTTAGAGGTTGCTGTGAGCTGTGATGCAAGAAAGTGAGACTCGAAAAAAAAAAAAGGCAGTGGGGTACTATAAATAATGAGAATATTTGTCTACGATACACCTTTTCCATGATGAGCAAGTGCCAGAGCTCCAGGTACAGTGTGAGGCCTGGCTGAGGGGAAGAGAGCAGCTTTCGTGGTCACTCTGGCTGCAGGGCCTTCCTGAAGCCACCCGGCCACTCCTGCCCATGTGGCCTGGGACAGGCATGAGGCAGCTCAAAGGTCCTTCTGGAGACCCCAGCAGAGGCAGATCCACCCAGAAGTGGCCTCAGGCCCCATGTGCATAAAAGCTTCGCCAGACCACAAGAAACATGGTTCCAGATGAAAGCAAGATCGTGGAATTATCAATCTTTACAGGAAAAGATGTTCATGCTTCAATCACATGACAGCACTTCTATAAACTATAAAACCTAAAAGTCATTCTGGCTGGGTGGCAGCTGGCTTCCCACATGCTTTGGACAAAGGAGCCAACAACCTCCTTCCCTTCCTCTTCAAGCCTACCCTACCCTCTCCTTCCTCCTGCGTGGGAAAGCTGGGGTTGCTGTGCTCCTCTGAGGCAGGTAACACACTCCTCCCAATACATGTGTTTCCACAGGGATGAGCCTGGAAGCCGCTGGCAGCAGAAGTAAGCCGAGTCTTTGGTATCTGTGTCATGTGTTGCCCTGGGACAAACCAGTTGGCACTGTTGCCCAGTAAGAGGACAGTAAAGTGTGACTTGTAGACCAGGCAGCCCCTGACACAGGCTTCATTTCAGGAGAGGACCACCGAACACCTAGGAGGGGCTCAAAGTCTGTGAGTTAGAGCCTCTGGGGTCTGGGGTGAGGGCGAGGAGCAGGGGTGGGTGCAGGTGGCAGGGCATACCTGAGTCTCTGCACCACCAGCAGGGAGCAGAGAACCACAAAGTGTCATTTTCTCTAGATCATCAGGATCAGTTGAAACTTGGACTCTGCCTGAAATTTCCCCCTTGCTTGACTTCTTCTCCCCTCCCACTCGCCCTCCTCCTGCTTCCCCACTTCCTTTCCTGTTTCCCCCGAGAGCGCTTCCTTAACAATCACTTGCATGAGAATCTTCATCTCAGGATTTGCCATAGGCGTACAAGACAGACGACATAAGCAAATTTCAACTAAGCAGAGCTTAGTGTTGCCCTATCATGTCCTAGTCCTGTAGGTGACAGACCTTGGCTAATGTATCGGGACAGATAGGTTTGAGTGGGAAGGGAAGGGCTGGGCAGGAAAGAGAGCTGCTGAGTAGAGATAGCAGTTTCAAGAAGCTTTGCTATAGAGGGGAACCAAAAAGTGATGCTGTCATCAGAGAGACATGAAAGTTAATATGAATTACATTACTGTGTAACACATTACACAAATTCAGCAGGCTGTGTTTATATTATTTATTATCTCACATCATTTCTGAGGGTCGAGAATGCCTCAGGATGTCAGGAGCCAAATGACGCCAGATGGCCGCCCATCCCCACCCCCAAGAGTGTGCTAACTTTTATCAGATAAGGAGCTGCTTTTCCCTTATCAGACAAGGAGCTGTTCTTCCCAGAGAAGCCATAAAATGTTTCAGACACATCGTTTACATTCCCAGCAGGAGATTGATGCAAGCTCTACCTCCCGCATTCCTTTGCCCCACCCCTTGTCTTCTCTGAGTGCCTTAAAACTGACCTGTTACCTCCATTAAATCGGACCTTGACAAGAAATCTGCTTGGTCTCGTTCCTCTTTTTCGCCTATTCTCTTTACAGGCTGGGTCCCCCTCGCCCCACGAATAACCGTGTCCTGCAGGACGGGACATCAGGATGGACCTGGCCCAGTTTCTTATGAAGCTGCAATAAAGATGCCAGCCAGGGCTGCTGTCATGTCTGAAGGTCCAACCGGGGCTGAGGGACCAGCTTCCAAGCTCACTCCCAGGGTTGTTGGCCAAAGGCTTCTATTCTTCTCCACTTGGGTCTCTCTACAAGTTCACTCAGGAGAGAGAGGTGTTTTAAAATGCATAGGCAGGAACTGGAAAGGACACGTTGTTAATAAATGTTAAAAGTTCTTAACTCAGCTTGGCACCTGTAGCACAGCAGTTATGGCACCAGCCACATACACTTAGGGTGGCAGGTTGGAATCCAGCCTGGATCAGCTAAACCACAATGACAACTATAACAAAAAAATAGCCAGGTGTGGTGGTGGGCACCTATAGTCCCAGCTACTCAGGAGAGTGAGGCAAGAGAATCACTTAAGCCCAGGAGTTGGAGGTTGCTGTGAGCTGTGATGCCACAGCACTCTACTGAGGGTGACATAGTGAGGCTCTGTCTCAAAAAAAAAAAAGTTATTAACTTTTGGGAAGTGGGCTTGAGGAGCACAGGATGGAGATGATGAAGGCAGACTTCTACATTGTATACTTGTGAGTGCCTTCTGTAATTTTAAAATGTTAAAGGTGACAGCTTAAATGATTTGGTAGTAGTTGGTGATGAATAAAGCTATGTCTACTACAAAAACGTCAGTGAAATGATAAAGGCAGGGAATTTTAATTGGGACATAAAAATGTGGATGACAAAAAAAATGTGCATGATTTTAGAAACATGGATGTACCCCATGTAGTACTTCCTGGGGGCACATGGTAAACTCTGCGATTGCTGTTGACCCCCCAGCAGGGTGAGGGTGGAAGTTTCTATCTCTGCTGAGAAAGCTCAGGGTCTTCTGGGAATCTATCTACCTCCTGTTTGGCCCCCACCACAGGGAGGCATCAGCTCTACGTGGCCTTTCACCAGCTGCCTCTCTGGGGCCTGACTGTGGGCTCTCTGGTCTGATCACCATAAACACCTCACATTCAAACATCTCCTACTGTACATAACCATTTGTCCAGGTGAAGGGTCCTGACTCCTCCAGGGACAACAATGGAGACATTCATCTCCAGGTTCAGCATCAGTCCCTGGGAATAAGGACAGGTAAATGGTTTAGTCTTCACTCCAGGGATGTACCCGGCCTCTGCAGGTGGCCTTGCCAGAGAGGTAGCACATTCCCCAAGCTCAAGGTGGAAAGGAGCCTTCTCCCCTCTCCCTACAGTCTCTGGTGCTGACAGCCAGAACTAAGAGAGGGCCTAGTCAGGTCCAAGCCACCACTGCATTCTGAGAATGACCACAGGCTCAGAAGACTCCTCTCCAGGCATGGTGTTCACAGTCTCTCATTGGACACCAATGCGGGGCTGCCCAGGGAGAAGCAGGGGCTGTGAGGCTGGTAGAGATAGACTGTGGGGCCTTGGGGATGTGCACCTGCCCAGGACAGTGAGCTATAGAAGACTTGGCCTGAAATGAGAGCCTCATGACACAGGGGAATGTGCTTGAACAGAGAGATTGAAGAAGGCTGTGGGGCAGGATTCAGCCTGGTGGTTACTGAAGCAACAGGGCTCCTACCCTGGATCTGGTGACTCAGAGCAGCGTTCTGTGAATTGTGGTCTAGGGACCAGTGCCAGCCCACACATGGTCTGTTACTGGTTCTTGATGAATTACTAATAGAAACTGAATGTAATGTTATATCCCTGAATCTTTAAAATTTGGGGCCTGGCCGATGTGGAGGCTCACGCCTGTGATCCTAACATTCTGGGAGGCCAAGGCAGGTAGATTGCTTGAGCTCAGGAGTTCAAGACCAGCCTGAGCAAGAACAAGATCCTATCTTTATTAAAAATAGCTGAGCATCAAGACAGGTGCCTGTAGTCCCAGCTACTCGGGAGGCTGAGGCAAGAGGATCACTTGAGCCCAGGAGTTTGAGGTTGCTGATAGATACCACACTCTAGACTGGGGCAACAGAGTGAAAGAGACTTTGTCTCGGCTCAGCGCCTATAGCTCAACTGGCTAAGGCGCCAGCCACGTACACCTAAGGTGGCGGGTTCGAATCCCCAGCCCGGACCCGCCAAACAACAATGACGGCTGCAACCAAAAAATAGCCAGGCGTTGTGGCGGGCACCTGTGGTCCCAGCTACTTGGGAGGCGGAGGCAAGAGACTCGCTTGAGCCCAGGAGTTGGAGGTTGCTGTGAGCTGTAATGCCACGGCACTCTACCCAGGGGGACAGCTTGAGGCTCTGTCTCAAAAAAAAAAAAAAAAAAAAAAAAGAGACTTTGTCTCAAAAAGGGGAGAGGTGTCTTGTATTTTGTATTGATTTTTTTACCTTCAGTTTTCTTTTTTCTTTTTATTTTTGGTTTTACTTTCATTTTTCTACTGATTTATTTCTATTGGATTTTTTTTAAACAAAAGGATTGACTTGCCCTAGATTGGAAACTTTAAAACTTGTCCTCCACCATAGAAAGTTTGAGATGCCCTGTTTGAAAGGGTCCCACATATCACAAACACCCAAGAAATTGGAAATGGAGCACATGGGATCTGGGGCTCAACCCTGGCATCGTGAAGCCAGCAGCCAGGACATCGGTTCCAGTAACAACACTGGTCAGGTGTTCGGGAAACACTGCCCCTTGCATTTTGCCCTGTGTCCTCAACACAGAAAACAACTCGGTCTGAATATTACAAAGGTTTCTGGGTTTGGCTTCCAGCAACAATGGAGACTGACACTGCTTCAGAGCCCAGGACATAGGGAGGATTTGAGTGGTGGAAGCACTTAGGTAAGAAAAAAGACAAATTAATTAACTTCTCAAATCCTTTATCTCAGATAATGAGAATGCAGTTATTTCGTGCGCAGTGAAACACCATTTCCCAGTAGGGCCACATGGCCATTTTCATGCTTCTCTTTGTGCTCTAGTTGGTGGTTCAGAAGGTACTCAGGAATTAGTGTGGCGTTGGCAGCTGCTTGGTGGCAAAGGAATTCTTTTCACTATATAAACACTTTACCTTACCTTTAAATCTGTATAGATATAGGTATAGATGTAACATGTATGAAGTTAATTCTTTGCTGCCTGAATCTACTGCTACTTTAAGAGATAGTGAAAATTATAATATATGAGGTAAAAATTCTATCATAAAATGAAAACATTTTGTAATGGGCTGAGTGTGGTGGATCACACCTGTGATCCTAGCACTCTGAGAGGCTGAGGGGGAAGGGTCACTTGAGGTCAGGAGTTCAAGTCCAACCTGAGCAAAAGAGGCTATAGAGCAGCAGTTCTCAACCTGTGGGTCATGATCCCTTTGGCGGTTGAACGACCCTTTCCCAGGGGTCGTCTAAATACATCCTGCATATCAGGTATTTACATTACAATTCATAATAGTAGAAAAATTACAGTTATGAAGTAGCAATGAGAATAATTTTATGGTTGAGGAGTCACCACAACATGAGGAACTGTATTAAAGGGTCCTGGCATTAGGAAGGTTGAGAACCATTGCTGTAGGAACTCCATCTCTACTAAAAATAGAAAAACTAGCCGGGCATTTTGGCAGGTGCCTGTAGTCCCAGCTACTTGGCAGGCTGAGGCAGGAGAAGCCCTTGAACCCAGGAGTCTGAGGTTGCTGTAAGCTGTGATAAAGCCAATTGTACTCTAGCCAGGGCCACAGAATGAAACTCTGTCTCAAAAAAATAAGTAAAAGACTTTTTGTGATATTTTCTGCAATAATGATAGTTTTTTTTCTTTCTTTCTTTCTTTCTTTTTTTGAGACAGTCTCACTATGTCACCCTAGGTAGAGTGATGTGGTGTCACAGCTCACAACAACCTCAAACTCTTGGACTTAAGCGATTCTCTTGCCTCAGACCCCCCAAGTAGCTGGGCTCAAGCGAGTCTCCTGCCTCTGCCTCCCAAGTAGCTGGGACCACAGGCACCCGCCACAACGCCCGGCTATTTTTTGGTTGCAGCCATCATTGTTGTTTGGCAGGTCCAGGCTGGATTCGAACCCGCCACCTTAGGTGTATGTGGCTGGCGCCTTAGCCACTTGAGCCACAGGCGCCGAGCCAATGATGGTCTTTCTTAAGCAACTCCACTTAAAATATTTGCACAGTCTATGTAAAATTTGTGATTCATTTCCAAATTTAAATATTGTTTTAAGATTTTACAAGCAATTCTACTCATTACTGAAACTTTGTCCAAATAGAAATTATTTTTTAAAACTAAGAATGACAACTCAAAAAAGCTAGCCTAACTTGGGATTATCATCAATAGAACATAAATTGTGCAAAAATCTTTATTTTATCAACACAAGTAATTTTACAAAAAGAAAGGCAAAAAGATATATAACAATATATGAATTATGTAACTTGATTTTATTACTTGTCAAAACATCACCAGCCCACCAACAGAATATCCAAATATGTGCAAAAGTAATTAAATTTGTCTTTACTATTGTGCCAATTTTCATTTATATTAAAAACATAGCATTATACTTTTAAAAATTTTTGATCTTATGAGAGTATATTTTTCAAGGTAGAAGGATAGAACATTTTTCTCTAATAGTTTATTGGCTCAGCTTATAATTTTAAATATTTACACATATGTTATGTGGCTTCCACCTCCTATTAGAGGTCTGCTTGGGACTGGCTACCTTCCTAAGTTGGGCCAGGGCTGCCCAACTGCTAACAGATGTGAGGGAGTTGACGCTATATTTTATTTATTTATTTTTTGACTCTACATTTTAATTCACTTAGGAGAGAAAGCTTCAAGTAGATGGAGATGTGATGAACACAAACTTCAGAAGGATAACACTGTTTTTAGAAATCATTATTGGCAATTGATTTTACATTTCATTTATCTTCGGTTAGTAGAGATGTTTGCCTGGTTTTAGTATAGCAAGGCCTCTGTAAGTGAAAGGGCAGTGGATGTCTGTAAGAGCCACCTCTGTGATCCTTCTTTGTGTTCTTTCTTTGATTCTGGAAAGATGGAGAATCCAAGTCCTGCCAAGAGAGCATGTGGAAATGCCCGCATCCTGCGTGGTCTGTCCTTCAAATCCTGCTCTGCAATCAACACCACATGGTAAGGCCAGGAGGAAGAAGACTTCCCATCACCCACAGCTGTCCCCTCTGCCAGAGGTAAAGGCTTCTTGTGGACTGAAGAAATGGACGTTCACCCCAGGCCAGTGGACTGTGAGCCCTAAGAGAAAGCAGCACCATTTATACCCTTTCCCTGCTGAGAGGCATTAGCTTTGTTTCCTGTGTGTGTGTGTGTGTGTGCACGCGCGTGCACATCACAAATGCTCTGTGTGTGTGTGTGTGCACGCACGCACACGCACATCACAAATGCACCTCTACAATCAATGATGCAATAAACACCCTCTTACAGGGGCCCTTAGGTGGATCCTTTAATTTCTCTGGAAGAAATTCCCAGGAGTGGGATCATTAGGTCAAAGGGCATACGTATTTTTAATTTTAATGTATTTTTCTAGATTGATTTCCCAAACAGGCTGTAATAATTGACATCTCCACCAGCTATGATTGCGAGCATGCTTCCCCCTCCATGTGCAATCGGGGGGAGGCTCCTTTTAATTTTGCCAGGCTGAAGGGTGTAAATGAGTATCTTATTATTTTAATTTGCATTCAGACTGAATTCTAACGAATTCAAGCCTCTTTCCATTGGTTGGATTTTTTTTCTTTGAATTCCCTACTCATCTCATTTTGCCTATTTCTCAATTGGGTTGTCTCTTTATATCAATTTATAAGAACTCTTTGGATGTTACAGCTATCAACATTTGTCTGTCATCTGCATGACAAATATTTTTTCCAAATCTGCTGCTTGTCTTTTGACATTGCTTATAGTATCTTTTGCCACAAAAAAAAAAAAATGCTATGAATACATATATAAAAACAAAAATACCTCTTTTTTTCATCTTCTAGGTTTCCAATCTTGGTTGAGTAGATAGGTACTCTAACTGTGGAGCATATGAGGCCTCCTTGCCAAAATTTATATGGATGTATAACATACATATGAAAGAGTGCACCTATTTTTATGGATTGATAGATTTTCACACGGTGAACAAACTTATGTAACCAAGACCCAAATCAGGAAACAGAACCTTACCAGCACCCCAGGCACGCCTTCTGGTCCCCTTCCAGTCACTGTCCTCCCCAAAGATTAACCTCTGCCCTGACTTCTAACTTAGCTTAGCGTCCGCACTTCGTCTAACTGAACCATCCAGGTGTGCTCCTGCGTGTCTAGCTTCTTGTACACGACACTATTTGTGAGATTCATCCACGCACTTCATTTATTCTCACTGCTGTGCTAGAGTCCTGGGTATCAACACATCACACTTCATTTATCTGTTTTATTTTTGATGGACATTGAGGTTGCTTCCAGCTTGGGGCTATTACGAATAGTGTGGCTGTAAACAATCTTGTCCATGTTCTTTGGGGAATTTATGTGCGCATTTCTGTTGGGCATTTAACCAAAAGTGTAACTTCGGGGCCATGGGGAATAGGTTCATCTTTCATAGGTATTGCCAAACAGTCACCCAAAGTGGTTGTACCAATTACACTTTCACCAGTAACGTAAGCGGCTTCTAGTTGCTCTACACCCACCCCCACATTTGGTATCCTCTGACGTTTTTCATTTCAGCCATTCTGGTGGGATGTGATAGTGTTGTGTTGTGTTGTGGTTTGTCTTGACAAGACTTCTAATGTTTCATTTTTCACATTTTTAAATGCCTGATCCATTTGGAATCTTATTTTGATGTACGAATAGGAAGGGCTCCATCCACTTTGATTGTCTTCCAGACAAAGAGCCAGTTGCTTAAAATGTAGCTTTTGTCCTGATGTGTCTTGAGGTATAAGTGGGCATTTCCCAAGGACAGTGGGATGGTACAGAACATCCGAGGCTGAAGGAGCTGCATGAGCAAAAATATGGAGGCACCAAGCAGCGTGATGTGGGCAGGGGATTGCACAGGTGTGGCAAGAAACCAAAAGTGGGCTGCAGGAGTGGCACAGTAGGGCAGGGAGGGTCAGGTCTTGTCATTCTCACAGTAGCACACAGGCATGAGGCTGCCATCAAATGGACACACCAAGAGGACAAAAGACCTTTTTGATGATTGGGGATATTCATGGAGATCCTCATTTTGTTTTTTTTTATTATTATTATTAAATCATAGCTGTGTACATTGATACAGTCACGGGGTACAGTGTGCTGTTTTTATATACAATTTGAAATATTTTCATCAAACTGGTTAACATAGCCTTCATGTCATTTTCTTAGTTATTGTGTTAAGACATTTATATTCTATATTTAGAAAGATTCACATGTACCCTTATAAGATGAACCACAGTTGTGATCCCACCAATCACCCTCCCTCCACCCATCCTCCATCCTCCCCCCTCCCCTCCCCACCCTCTCCCCTTTCCCCATATTCTTGGGCTATAATTGGATTGTAGCTTTCCTATGAAAGCTATAAGTTAGTTTCATATGTACATACACCGTGGAATACTATGTAGCCCTAAAGAAGGATGGAGACTTTACCTCTTTCATGTTTACATGGATGGAGCTGGAAAATATTCTTCTTAGCAAAGTATCTCAAGAATGGAAGAAAAAGTATCCAATGTACTCAGCCCTACTATGAGATCCTCATTTTGAAAGTGTGATTAACAAACTACCACTCTTAGCAGAGGGAACTTTTGTGTTGACTGAGGCATGTATTAAGAGGCATTTATACATTACTTCATTTACTCCTCAGAGTGACTGACTCCATGACTGGGCACTGTTATCCGTAATTTACAGATAAGGGCACGAAGCTCAGAGAAATCAGGTGGCTTACCCTTGGATACACAGCCAGTAAGTGGCAGAGCTGAGATTGGAACCCAGGTCTGTCTCCCTCTCAAGTTCCTGCTCTTTCTCCCATACGTACTGCCACACTGCTGGCACCGCCAGCAGACACGTGAATTGAACTTCCAGACTATTCCCAAACTAATGGTGCATGCCGCAGAGCACATTTACAGTCCTTACATCGGCCTTGCCACCAGGCCTGTTGCTGTGTGTTTCCTCTTCCCCAGTCACAGAGTGATTGATTTATTGGGAAGCTAGATCACCACTACAGGAGGCTGAAAGGAACACAGAGATAGGACTGGAATGGCTGGTTTGGGCCCAAAGGTAAGTTTATGGGTCTACAGAGAGGGGAGAAAGGCGGCCTCCGTCCTCTATCCCTTTCCCACACACAGTTCTTGGTTACAAAAAGTCCAGTCGCTCCCCTTTCCCAGACTGAGAGAGCACACGATGAGCATGCATTAACTGTATAATAAATCAGGGTACGCCACCTACTGTACCCCACAATAAACTTCCCGGTAACCTGCACACTCTCCAGTAGGTCTCTGTTCCTCACAGTAGGGAGACGTGAACACTCGCCAGCATTAATACACTGGCACTCAGACACACGTCGGACACAGAGGTGGCACACGAGCTTCACACTGACACACAGCAGAGACATATACATACTCAGGGAAACTGTCTCCTGGCCTACAAGAGCCCTGTGAATCTGGGGAGCTCAAGGGTTTTCAAACTGTACTGTGTGAGTTCTTCCACAGAGGAGAGACACACAAATAATAAAGCAATGTCCCACCCAAGGGACTATATTACCTGCTAGAGATAACTGCAGAAAAGTACACTGAAATTATGAAGTACCATTTCCCTCTAAAGACTGGCTAGCATTTAAAAGTTTGATAACACCCAGTGAAGGTGGGGGTGTAAAGATGTGGCATTTGGCAGAAAAAGTAAATGACTACAACTTCAGGAGGGAACTCACTATGTATGTCCAAAGGTTAATTGCATCTACCCTTAAACCCAGTGATTCCAGTTCTAAAAATTTTACAGACACACACACACACACATACAAACACCGATCAACTCAAGTTCACTGCAGCATTTGATAATACTATCATAAAATTAGGAATAACTAAAACAACTAGTCTATTAGTAGAAGACTAGCCAAATAAGTTAAGGGATACCGTACCATGGAGCACTCTCAGCCATCTAACTGCTGAGATGGGTCTCTATGTTCTGACGTGGAGAGATGCCCACAGTAGATTTTTTTTTTTTTTTTAGTTAAAAGTAAGGTACAGTACAAGCTGTCCTTATCCTATTTGTGTTTTTAAAAATAGTTGTTGGTATATACAGGTGGAGTGTCTAGAAGATACACAAGAAACTGCTGTGGTAGGGAGCTCTGGAGAATGGAAAGGACACAAGGAGAAAGGGGAGGAAAAGGAAACTAATTTTTTACTTAACCTTCCATACTTTTTGACATCTCCACAGCGAGCATGCATCAACTGTATAATAAATCAGTTTATATTTTTGTAAACTGGGATTTTTAAAAATATATTAGAGTTTTCTGTACAAGTTTACTTAGGAAGAGTTTCCCTGCTAAAAACTTTATTAACCCAAGCCTATTGTACAAGCTGCCAGGAAAAATTGTGAAAAACTTTTGAAATAGGGAGAAAAAGTACCCTATGGAATGCTGGGCTGGTGTAACCCTTCCAGGCTATCATCTCCACTATTCAACACCTTTGAATCTCTAAGTTGCAGAAAATGGAAAATAATACAAGTTTTCTTGTCTATAGCGATGCAAAAAATTTTTGTTTGGTAGAGGTGCAAGTGATTCCTCTCACCACCAACTGTGGAAGAAGCTAGTTTCGTATCAGTTAATACATTTATTTCTTTATTGATCGCCAATATGTGTATCTGGTCTTTGTATGGTCCCTTGAACCAATTTTTAACACATTACTGGTCCCTTCATTAATTGATGAGTTAAATTAAATCTATGCCACGTGTTCATTTTATATTTGTATGCCAGGCATGATTCTTCCCTTTAAAAATTATCGTGGAGACAACAAAGACCAGTCGATGACGAGATCTGCCAAGGTTAGGTGCCTGTTGTTGCAAATACAGAACCAATCCCCAGCTCTCAAATGAGAACTTCCAGACTCCAGATTCCTTGGCTGTGTCACATCATCAAGCAAAGAGGACTGAAATCATTACGGTTTGACTTGAATAGTGACCCATACAGATACATGGTTAATTTAGAAGATGCTTTCCCACGGATACACGCACACACGCCTCACACTTGTCAAAGGTGCCGGCTGAGACCTGCTCCCGCACAGACAGAGCCCCTCCCGCCACCGGGGACAGGGTCCCCCGCAGCTCCCAGCCTCCTCTCGCTTCTTCCTTTCATCTCAGAGGAGCCAGAGATTGGAGACAGAGGAAGGCCCGGTCCTGCCGACCCTCGCCTGTGCCCCGCAGGGAGAGGCGGTCCCCTCGCTGATAACCCAGGCCCGGTCCTGGGAGACAGCCCAGCGGCGGGGTCCCGAAGGCGGCG